TGTAAATCGTGTTTTTAAAAAGTAACTAAGTAACTAAGTAATTAATTACTTTTGAAAATAAGTAATCAGTAAAGTAACGGGATTACTTTTTTGGGGAGGTAATCAGTAATTAGTTACTGATTACTTTTTTCAAGTAACTTGACCAACACTGCTGATAAAAGCACTGGGCTATCCAAACCATTGAATTCATCATATGGCACTGTAATGCCAAAGTATCTGTGGGCGAGATGTGCAACCCCGCCGAATGTGTGTAAATTTTAGAATGTACTTGGGTGCAGAAAAACTCTATATATAACTGTGCCATAGCCTTCAATAGTTTGGGCCTTGGTGACTGCTAAAAGCATACAGATACAAGTATTCAAGTATTCAATTAGAATAATCAGTGGCAAGTCACTAAATAGACAATAGCACTGTTGCAGAATAGCACTACCCCCTCGGTGGACTGGTGCTGAAAACACCTGTGATATGATTGAGCTTCACATAATTTATTAATATTTACTAAGGTGTTAGTAAAACATTATCTCAAATGAATTCCAACATGTTTCATGTGTTTAATTACATGAAACATGTTCTTATGATTTTAAACTAAATTCTGTTCTCATAATAGTAGTTCCCACAGCCTTAGCTGGGAATTTTATTACTATGACATCAACAACTCTGCTGACTAATACATATTTGAAGCTATATGGAGGTAAGCTTGTAGCATTAATTATGATGTAAAATAATCTCCCTAACTGGATGAATGTGTGCTGCCAGGACAGCTCACCTGTTAATCAACACGTGCCAAGTCACGTGTTGCTGCACATGTAACATCAAGGTTTTGTTTGTAATTAAAGGTGACACTGAGACGGTCAGATTGGAAAGGAGGTTTGCACACCAGTGTGTATGCCAAGTGCTGCGTGCATCACTAAACATGACACTGTTGGACAATGAAGGGAAGAGAACCAGAGGAGGAAACTGAACCTGTGATTAGCAGGAAGGACAGGAAAGTGACTGATAGCACCCAGTAACTAACTTTTAACTGAACTAGTGTAGGTTTTTCCATTTTCCTTGGAATACCTTTTTAGTTTTGTGCGCAAAGTCTTTGGGCCAAACATGAACTGCATTCCTGCCTCACATAGGTAAGTTACAAGATTTAAATACTCCACCTACCCACTTTCTAAAGGTTTGAGGATATGAATTGTGTGTTATGGTCTTTACCTTAATGATAATAGAAAATGCCTTGTGGTGACTGCAGTCTGAACTGGCAACAAATGAAGTAATTAATTATTTAATAAATGTGTGGAATAGAGCTGTGTTGAACTACACAGTGACTATACTAAATATTGCTGACCAGTATTTCAAAAGACCTAAATGAATGGCAATGCATATACAGAAACCTATTGTATGTTTATTTATATGTAATATGCCATAAAAGTCTTTATGAGTAGGTCTGGTCTTTCTGTTACAAATATGTTAATTACAGCACATATATTTGAAAACTAGTAGTAGTGAAAACAAATGTTCTTGTACCCTTCCCCCCTCCATGGGGTTGAGGCATTAATCAAGCTTGTACTTAGTAATTAGCTGCAGATTAACTCAGCAGGAGAAGCTGTCTCCCTCCGTATACCTACAGTATACCATATACATACACTTGAGATTTTTCTCTACTGCAAAAACCCTGTAAATCATTCCTCAGTCCACTGCTTCCTGTAAACTTGAACTAAGCTGGACATTCCTAGAACCCTGTTGGAAATCTCTAGACTTTGAGAGTGTGAGGTCTCTGATAGTTAACATGCAAATTTCATACTTACGCATTTCAGTCCAGTCTACTAACGCCCATCAGCACCTTGTATAAACACTACAGTTTCACAAATGTGACATGTATATCTTATCTTTGATTTTTATACCTTGAGTTAGATATTCTTTCAAATCCAATTTAGAAATTTTGAAGCCTATGTCGCCAAAGTGTTTCAAAAATATTTGTGACAGGATTAAAGAAATGATGGAATGTCTCACATCCAATGAGGCTACGCATGTAGGAATAAAAACCATATCTCAGAGAGGCGCATTCCGGAAAGTAATTCATTTCCATTCAGTTTTATTTATAGAGTGCTAAATCACAGAAAAAGTTACCTCAAGGTGCTTTATACTGTAAGGTAAAGACCCTACAATACTATGAAGAAAACCCCAACGACTCCCTGCTTGGTCCGCCTTTGGGCAAGGACTTGGCAACAGTGCGAAGGAAAAGCCATTTAACAGCAAGAAGTCCAGCCTCAGGAAGAGGCAGTCATCTGCCTCAAGCAGTTGGGGGTGAGGGGAGGAAGACAGGAAAACAGACACATTATGGAAGAGAACCAGAGATTATTAATAACTAATGATTAAATGCAGAGTGATGTATAAACACAAAGAGTAAACAGATGTGAGCAAAGAAGGAACACTCCAGCAGCCTAGGTTTTCTCTAACTGAGGGTTCAGGGTAACCCGATCAAGCCCTATCCACGAAGAGTGTTTCACCACTGCGGAGGCTGTGTCCTGCGCAAAATGTGAGGATGGCATGGTGACCAACACCAAATCTTTATCAAGTGAACGGGAACTGAGGAGATTACTAGAAGCCAAATACAGTGTTGCTAAAAGAAGTAAAACAATGGCAATCACACCCCTGGCTTACATCTTGTGTGTGTGTGTGTGTGTGTGTGTGTGTGTGTGTGTGTGTGTGTGTGTGTGTGTGTGTGTGTGTGTGTGTGTGTAGTATGAACACCATTCTCACTCAAGTTGAATCTCAGATGGAGGAGTGTCCAGTTCAGAGGAGAGGAAGCAAAGCCTATCAGGTAGGTTTTTTATTCAGTTCAGTTTTATTTTTATAGTGCCAGTTCACAAAAACAGTTATCTTAACCTCCTAGGACTTGGCGTCTACATATGTGGACATCACATTTCAGGTTATTTAGACCAAAATACTCAATTTTGCTCTACATGGGCCTGATATCCACTTATGAGGACATTATACTGCTACTGTTCTATCAAAATTTTAAACGAATATCCTCATATGTGGCTCTCATATTTCTTAAAAGCAAAAATAAGGTAAAAATAAAATCTGGTAATTCTTTGTTTTTACATTCATCGGGCCCCAATAAGCCCAAATATCAAAGAGAAATAAAAAATGCATGCTGTCTATGGGTAACCCTGTTAAGAGATCTAAGGTTTTTACTCACTTGAAAGGTCTAAATTCTGACATAGCATTTTTACAGGAGACTCATCTTCGCATTAAGGATCATTATAGGTTATATTGCCCTTGGGTAGGTCAGGTCTTTCACTCAAATTTTAATTCGAAGGCTAGAGGAGTGGCCATTCTCATTAATAAGAAAGTTCAATTCTCTTCGACCGATGTTATTGCTGATGGGAATGGTAGATACATCATTGTTGCTGGTACCCTAATGCAGAAAAAGGTTTTGTTGGTAAATGTATATGCCCCGAATTTTGATGATGCTGAATTCGCTAATAGATTGCTGAGTAACATCCCCTTTCTGAATACACATTTGCTGATCCTTGGTGGTGATCTGAATTGTGTTTTTGATCCAATTTTGGATCGATCTAGTCCTCGTAATTTGACTCAATCATCTATGTCTAAAACATTCTCAGATTTTATGAAACAGAATGATCTTGTTGATCCATGGAGATTTCGCAACCCTTCAATCAAAAAATTTTCGTTTTTCTCTCAGGTCCACCAGTCTTATTCCAGGATTGATTATTTTTTCATCGACAGAACTCTTAATTCATGTGTTAATTCTTCCGACTATTCTGGTATTGTAATATCTGATCATTCTCCTCTGCTATTGGATGTTCAGCTTTCTA